TGGAGGAAGGAACTGGATTCCTCAGGGCCTCCTGGTCAAGGTCAAGACTGGCACAGTTCTGCCTGTGGCCTGGATCCCAGTGTGGCTACTTCATTTAATTCTGCACCCGGCCCCAAGTGGATCTCACAAAAGGTACCTACAGAAAACAGGTGAATCAGTGAATTTGCTGGAGGTGTGCTTGTGGGAAGCCCAAGGGCACGTAAAACCTCCAAGGAGCTGAGAGGACGTCTACAGCAATTATTCTCATGCAGCCCACCTAGGGTTTGGAGCACAGTTGCTGCTTAGTAGGTGTTGGTAAGGAGGAAACACTTGTGTGTTTATTGTCAAAGCCAGGGGAGGACAGTCCCGGAACTGTTTGCCATACTGAGTCTCACACGTTGAAAACTCAGAAGTGACATCATCCATTTGTCTCATGATCACATATCCATGGCAACGGACTAAGTCAAGGGAAAAATAGGGAGAGAGAGTGGTGGAGCCAATTTAAGCAATTTATTGGTATAAAGGATTCGGTTATCAAGGTTGCAAATAAGTCATCAACTTCAGGCCCGGATGTGCACCAAAGTGGTTCTCAGATTCCTGCTTGCTTGGACAAGCAGGCTGCCTTCTCAAGAGTATGCCTTGAATCCGTAATAGCTGCGGAAAAATTTTAAAGTAATGGAAGAAGCATTTACAAAACTCATTTCTAAGTCATCAGGGGACTATATTTTTGATGGTGCAGGAGGCTTGAGACAGAAACCTGCTAGGGGGAAGCTGCGCTGGCAGCCAAGTCAGAGCTGTGCAGCCGAAGCCTGGGGCACCAGAAGGTGTGGTAACAGAGCTCCACGGATGGCACCCTGAGTCCAAGAGCCTCGATTTTGGGGAACACAAGATGCTGTTATAATCTAATTACAATGAAGTCTCTTCTCTCTGCCCCCAAGAGGGCAGGCAGTTTAGTCAGACAAGCCAGCTTGGGGGTAGTTTGAACCCTGTTCTAGCTATGTGACTTTGGGTGTGTTCCTTAAACTCTTTGAGCCTCAGTTTACTCGTCTGCACACTGGTCATTATAATAAGACCTGGTTCATAGGGATTTTTTTAAGATTAAATGAGATAATGTCTAGAAAGCACTTGGCATAGTACTTGTCTGCATTTGGGGCTCATATTACAACACCCAAACCAGAGAGGATTTTAGGGTTTTTAATAAATCATCAGACATGAAAGGACATTTTCAAGGGCTCAATGCCAGTCACACGTTCCTCTGGACTGTCATGTTGGGTGGGGACATCTGCAGGCTCTGAGTTACATAATAGTGGATGTGACAGAAGTGGCCTGAGGAATCAGCTTCACTTCTTGAGGACTTAAATGCCAGTGCTGTGCTTTAAAGAGCACCCTCTACTCAGACGCCGTGGGCTTCAGGGTCTGGTGCCCACTGTTCTCTGGCCTCCCCGGATGAGGAGGGTGGAGGCTCTCCATAAGATGGCCATGGAGGCCGAGCTCTGATCATGAGACAGGCCCCTGCACCATGTAGGTAGAACCGGGAAGGGGTGTGTGGTTGAAGGAGCATGAGCTTGGAGCTGTGACTGGGGTTTGATCCCAGCCTTGTCACTACAAATGTAAGGCTCTGGGCTGTTTCATCGGCTCCCTAAACCTCGGTTCCCTCATCTGCCAAAAGGGAAACAGTATCTGGTTTGCAGAGAGGTTGTAAGGATAAAGTGATGTAATGTATGTAGAATACTTGCTGTGTAGTAGGATGCTTCTTAAATATGACAACTGTCATCATATAAGCAAAGTGTGAAATGCATTAGTGGTAACTGATATGATGATGAAACAATCCTGTGAGACCACATCAGTCTCCCTCTTAGAAAGAATGGCAACATATAGACAGCAGAAGGTTTGATTTGGGCTTGACAAATGAATGCAGTTCATTCTGGGAAATGGTCTATGGTTCGGACCAAATCCCTGCCCCAGCTGACACGTTCATCTTTGGCCTGGGAAGACCAGGTCTGCGGGATGATGAGGGGCAGGCGGAGTGGGTGTGCATGAGCAGACTTCCTTAGTCAGTGCGAAGGGATCAGTGATGAGCCGCCCTACGGGACGGGGTCCCTAATGTCAGGGGGATGACAATCATAGCTCCAACGGAGCCACGGTGATATGCAGGCTGCAGGCCTACCTCTGTGGCACGAAGCTGGGTCTGGGACACATGGCCTGGGAAGTAGTCATGGAACTTATAACCCAGAGAGCAGAAGGACCCCAGTCTGGACTGCCGATGACACGGAGGTGGGAGAACCAGGCCTGGGAGGTTCAGTTGCATGGCAGAGGGCGGCCAGTGCCCCTCCTGTCTGGTGGCAGTCGCTTCTGCATCAGAACAGTTTTCCAGGAGAGGAACCCAAGTGTGATGTGTGCAGAACCTGACTGATCTGGAGGGGAGTTTTCCACACAGAGAAGCTTCCACTCAGCCGGGAGCTGCAAGCACATGCCAGTTCCACGAATGGAACTTTAACAACACGGGAGCGGGAGTCTATGTGGCTGCAGCTGTGCCCACCAGCTGGTCACGGAGAATGAAAACCTCCTGAATGTAACAAGTTAATGATGTCTGTCACCACTGTGCAAAGCCAGCCTGGGAAAAGGGGAAGGACTTGGGGTGAGCGTCAGACTCAGAAGGTGATGGTGTGTGAGGGTGTTCGGTGGGCCCTTTCTCCCCCATTAAGACGTGTGCATCCCCAGGAGAAATTCTCACATACTCCCACCACTACTCCCAAAGCCTATGGTGGCATCTGGTGCTTGTTGGCCTGATACAGGGGTTCTCCCGATGTGCCCTCCCAGGGGGACATTTGGCCATGTCTGGAGACATTTTTGGTTGTCGCACTTCTGGGGGAGGGCACGCTACTGGCATCTAGTGGGCAGAGGTCAGAATGCTGCCGACCACTGTACAGCACCCAGGACAGACCCTGGAGACGTCCCCACCCCACAGGTCAGTGGTGCTGAGGTCGAGCGCTTGTCTGATGCCGAGGTGAAGCCTCTTTGCCAAGGGGGGAGGCTGGGTCCTCACGCCTGTTGTCTCAGGGCAGAGGGGAATCGGGAGGGTCGTCCCTCACCTCAGGCTGCATGCAGAAGTGGGGGTGGGAAGTCAAAAAATGCAGGGGGACCGGGAATGAGCCCAAAGGCAGCCTCAGGCTCAGGTAGAAGGATAAGGGCAGAGTTTTTCATTTCAAGTCAACTCTTACTTATTTAAAAACCAATTTCCTTAAGCACATAATTACATGTTTATTTCCCTGAGGAACTCTTCAGGCAGAGGAGACCTGCTTAAATTATGGGGATGGAGGCTGCACACGGGGCTTTAATGGGGTTAGAAAAATTTTCTGTCTCCTGTGAAGGAGCCTTGGGAGGGAAGGAAGGGCAGATTGCTCTGTGCAGTGCAGAGGGTGTGGGAAGCCCAAGAACTGGCTGTGCAACCCCAGCAGGTCAGGACCAGGGAAGACAGGAGCTCTGGGGTACAGCTTCCAGAGTCCCCCTCTCTCCCCATTCTGGAATCCAGGGGGAAGGGATCCAGGAAGTGGACCATTCACCCTGTTTCTACCTTTGTTTGAAACACACACACACTCACACACCTCTACGGAAGCCGCCGCTGCAGCTGTGGTTTGCATCAGGAAACAGAATGGGCAGTGCTGTTGGGGGAGGCCCAGAGGGGTGGGCAGGGTGGAGGAAATCCTGATGAGAGGGGAGTGGAGGTTTAGGGCATCCTCTTTTTGTGCTATTTCTTACTCCTTGTCGCAGTCTGAATACCTGATACTGTATGAGTTCTTCTCTTCAGGAAGTCTCACTTGGGTAAACTGGGCAGCAGCCAAGGGAATAGAATGAAGGGACAAATTACTCAGATTTGGCACACAAAGGAAAGCGGGGGGCATCTGAGAGCCTGTCTCGTTGCTAGATTGGCAAGACTCTGGCTAATATACATTTTGTGTAAGAGAGACTGGACGGGAGTTCAGCTGGGTGGGTGATGGTGGAAGGGAGCCGAAGGCTTAGGCCTGGCTCAGGTCCAGGATACAAAGGATGGGGTCTACAGGGGAACCCGTTTCCTCCATCTACGTCCCCACTGCATCGGTAACGCGCATCTGTGCCAGTGCCCACTGGATGGGGCTGGGCTCTGTACATACCTCCTCAGGGAGGTTGTGAAGCCTGTCCCATTCTGCCGGGCGGCCCCCACATCCAACAGAGCCTGGCACACACAGGCACTTTGCACAAATTCCACAATGAATTTCTACCACATCCAGCCTGGCCTGCCCCAGCAGAAGAGAGGGCAGGAACTCAGGTGGGAGCTACTGAAAAGAATCCATTTAGTTCTTTTTGGATGGAGCCAAGCAGGAAGGGAAGGACCAGAAAAGCATGGCGGAGATTCACAGCCCTGAATCTTGTCATTTGATCATCAAATAGCCTCTCTGCATAAGCACCAGGCGGGCTCAGTGGCAGCATTCCTTGGCTTGAGGCTGTGCGGCTGCATAATGGCTGGAGGTCCCAGGGTGGGTGGGGGAGCTGAGCAGCTGGTGAGAGGCACCCAGCCCTTGGGAGACGGAGATGGGGGATATCTGTGAGCCCATGCAGGGCTTCTCTGTCTTGAGAGGGTTAAGGGGGTGACACACATGGGGCATGGGGACCTAGACTGAGGAGTTGTATGCACAGGGGCCCTCCTGGCCTGCGAGCATCAGAGACCCTGGGCTTCAGGGAACTTGTGTCCTTTTCATTGGCCAGATTCTCAGAAGACACATCAAATATTATCATAGATACAGTATTTGAAACATAGATCCATTAAAGATACAGTAGTTTTAAGAGGCTGAAGATGTGTGCTGCGGTCCTGGCCCATCCCTCCACTTTTACGAAGCGGGACCCTGGGCCTCTCTGAGCCTTAGCCACCTCATCCAAAGGCCAGAATGGCCTTCTGCCATTCCTGCATCACAGGGCTCTTGTGAGGCTCAAAGAGGTTGATGTGCAGGAATGCTCTGAAAACTGTAAGTGCTATGCAATGTGAGCTGGGTCTTGTAAGTTATTTATTCAAGGAAGCAGCAGAGGGTCTCCCCAAAATCAATGCAGCTCCAGCCACCCCTTCAATCAGGACCTGCCTGCAGAAAAGGGCCATTTCAGTCCTTGAGCCACCTGGCGACTGGCGGGCTTAGCACTTTAAGTCCATATCCACCGCTCTGGCCCTGTATGGCACACAGGTCAGGAGAGAAGGGGCCTGGCAGAAGGGTGCTGAGGCCCAGATTTAGTTCGCTGGTAGAACTGGAAGACTGCTTTCTCCTGCTCATAGGTCTCGATGGAGCCGGGTCGAAGGCGCCGGATTTCAGCGATGGCGTCTCCTGCAGCCAGGCCCTGCTCCTTCACCAGGTAACAGGCCAGCATGGTGCCAGTGCGGCCAAAGCCCAGGGCACAGTGCACTGCAACGGCCTGCGGAGGGGGAGCTTGATGCAGTGTGGCCTGACATCCCTGACACTCTCCTAGCCCTCACTGGGGGTCTCCCTCTCCCCACAGCTGCTTCTTCTGGGTCAGGCCAGGACCCTGCACCCAGCCAGGCCAAGAAGTGACATTAAAGTCATGGAGGGCTGTCCTGTACCTGTGGATTGGGGCCCACCCATCACCCCCAAAGTGGTTGGTCCAAGTGCTGGGCTCCTGGCCTGCCTCTCCACAACCATCCACCTGGCCACCTGGTGCAGAAGCCACTGGCCACGCGGGGCCACTGAGTACCTGAAATGCTGCCAGCCCAAATGGGGATGTGATGTAAACACAACCAAGGTCTGAGGATGTCGTACAAAAATGGAATGAAAATCTGTCATTAAGAATTTATTTTATATTGATCATATGTTGAAATAATATTTTTGGCTCACTGGGTTAAACTATATTATTAGAATGAATTTCTCCTGCTTCTTTTTTACCTTTTAAAAGTGCTATGCTGCTAGAAATTTTAAAGTTACATATGTGGCTCCGTTAAATTTGGCCAGAGCGCTGCTGCTCAACGACCTCTGACGTCAAGCTCCGTCTCTCCCAGGCCTGTGCACCCTTCCTCCTCTCTACTCACAGCAGGCTGGTTCTGGCTGCGGGGCCCTCTCTGCGCTCCGCCCTTTGGCCGCCCCTCCCCTGCCCTGGGCTTCAGGTCCGGGTTGCCCGGTCTCCTGGCCCGACGGCCTCCCCTGAGTCTCTGCCGCAGCGCAGCCAAGTTGTTCCCGGCCGGACTTCCCAGCGCCGCCCGTCCCCGCAGACCCCTCCCGGTCCCTCCCTCCCTGCACTGACTCCGCCCGCTGACCTCTCCCCGGGCGTTGGCCTCGTCCACGATCTGCACAAAGCGGTCGATCTGCTCGGGGGCCGGGGGGCAGAAGTCTGGGATGCGCAGTCGGTGCAGGGTGAGGCCCGGGCAACCGCCGCTGTGCGGGGGCCCGCGCTCCGTCAGGGACACCAGGTGCCGCACGCCCAGGTCCAGCAGGTACTGGTAATGGGCGGGGAGCCGGGGCAGTGCCAGTCCCGCCAGCCGGCCCGGTAGCACCCACGAGAAGTTGGGGGGCTGCACGCCCATGGCTGGGGGAGGGCACGGGACAGCCCGCTCCGCTCCGCCCACTAGTCCCCTCGCCTGTCCCGGGTCGGGCAAGCAGCCACCTTCCCGGCCCTAGCGCTTCCTGGAACCACGTGGTCTCCGGGACACCGCCCTGGGTGACCGGCTGCTTCACCGTAGGGGATTGGCCGAGCCGCCTGGGGGCGGGGCTAGGAAGCTTTGAGTGACAGGAGGAGCACCGCGTTCCGGCCACGAAAAGGGCGCTCGTTGATTGGTTGGATGGTCAATAGTGGGCGGGAGTATTGCAGCGGTGCGCACGGAGATTGGCTGAGCAACCCAAACTGCCAAGAAGGAAAACCTGGAGAGAATTCACAATTGTTTTCTGTGGACCAAGCAATCCGGGGGTCGGGCTCTGCTGCTCCCTAGCGGTCGGTTGGGGTTATTACATCCCTTGCCAACTGCCCCGTCTGCGCAAGGGCTGCCTTTGTTCCGTCTTACTTTTTTAGGAATGGATGCCCAAGGGTTTAAGAGATGGCGTATCTGCTTCAGCTGTGGGGAGAGAATCTATACAATAACTCATTGTCAGTGACATGCTGAACTCGTCCAGTAAGGCGGAATCACTACCAGACAGGGACTATTCTCATTTTTCCATTGCTGGAAACAAATACTGGGTTGCCATCTGGTGCCCCGAAATCTTACCCGGGATGTTAATTTTGGTATACTAATAATAAGAACCAACAACATAAGAATTGATATTTATTGAGCATTTACTATAAGTCAGGTACTATTCTAAGCATTTGGCATGTATTAACTCATTTAATTGCCACAATAATCCTATGAGGTAGGTAATCTATTTAACTGTTTTATAGATGAGAAAACTGAGGCCCCGGAGACGTTCAGGAATTGGCCAAGATGTGACTGATGGACTGGGGACCTGAAACAGGCAGCCTGTCTCTAGAGGCTGTAGCACCACAGTATCGTTTCCTAAAGTGAAAAGAAGTTTCCTTCCTCTTTACATAACCATCCTCATGCTCCCAAATATCATCTGGTTAAACAATTGGAGGATTTCTTAATTTCCCTTTATATTTCATGATTTCCAGGCTTTGTGAGTCACGCTCCACTGGGGAGTTGGGAGTTTATCAGTGGTGTTCATAGAAGTTAGGAACCTCGGTCTGAACACAGTGTCTTAGCTGTGATCTGACTGCTCCAGGTCCTCATTTGAACAATGGGGTTTCAGTGAGGCAGGCTAGTTATAATTATGAAAACAGTTAACCTTTATTGAATGCGCTTCTCTACCAGGCCCTGTGCCAAGTGCTTTCTGGAAGAACAACATGTGGAAGGTATTTTCGTTTTCCTCTGGTAAATGAGTAACCTGAGGCTTAGGGAAGTTGGTTAACTTGGCCCAGTGCACAGAACCAGTATGTACCTGGGCTGCGCCAAGGTCTCTCTGATTCTAAGCCCAGGGCACTTAGCCATGGAGACCTACTTCCCTTCTCTGTCCCCAACCACCCGTGACACACACATTTGACCATATAAAGCTCTGGTTCTAGCAGAATGGAAGGAATTTCTCTTCTTTTAAAGTGCAACGCCTGCTCTGAGCTTGTGAAAAATGCATTTACCATTTACCCAGGGAGCCCTGAAGCCCTGCGTCTGCCCAGTCCCCAGGTTCTGGGAGCTGCCGGGTCACCCTTTCCTCCCCTTCCACGCAGGCACAGCCTTGATTAAGCCCTTCCTGTCTGCACTCCCATTTCCTACACAACGCCCTATCAACCTTCCTAGCCCATCCCATTCATTCCTTTGCCTCCATCCCTGCTGTGGCCTCTCTGCTGCTGGTCACCTCCTCCCACAGCCGACCCCCACCCCCTTCTCCCAATCCAGCTGCTCCCCGGGGTGTCTGGTCCTGTGGCCTCAGGAGACTGGCTCCAGCACTTGCTCCTCTCAAGTCGAGCTTTTCCCAGAACTTCCCTCATCTCTCCCTGTCACCCTACATCCCTTCCCCGCTTTCTTGAGATCAGCTCAAAACCCATCTTTTCCAGAGGGAAGACATTCCTGGGGGAGACAGATTCTCTTCTCCCCTGAGCCTCTAACAGTGATTCTCCCCGTTGGGTGGATCTGCAGGGGTAGAAGTGCCCTCCGGGGTCTTTAGGAAAAGGCCTGTTGGCTCGCTTTGCAGGAGTTCCATCCTTCCCCAGGGCGCTGCTCCTCCCTTCCGACAGACAGACCGCTGGGCAGAAAGAGCCCAGGGCCCCTGCCTGGGGCTGTGTCCCAGTGTCAAGGTGCTATTTAATTTTCTGTCTTGGACCCAGGGAATCTCAGACTCAATGATGGTTTCCTGGCTAGGACTCCTGCAACTTACCAATGCCAGCGACCTGCCCGTGCTATCCCCGCCCCCCCCCCGCCCCACGTGACTTCTCTGTATACTGTACTGATCTTGTCCTTTCTTCTCTGACCATCAGGAAGATTTAGGCTCTTTGTGTGCTCGCATCTCACCTTGTATCAGTATGTACTCCCACATGGCATTTGCTTTATTGGGTAGGGTTACCTGTTTGCGTAGGAGCCAAGAGCGGATTGCTCCATCGTTGAGTCCCACAAATCTAATATGGAGTCTGATGCACTGTGCTCAAAGATATTAAATGAACCACCAAGTGAAGAAAACAAAAGTGGAATGCGTAGGCAAGACTGGAGCCTACATTTCTGGGGCTCCATGTGAGTCTCCAGGACTAAGTGACAATGTGTGTTTGTGTCTCTTTTTAACACCATGAACTCAAGGACCGTTTGGGTGTGGTGTAGCACCTTCTCGAGGTGTACTTTTTCTGTGTCTGTGCTTTTTAGGAAAGAATGACTGTGTCAGTGTGCTTCTGGCTAAGTCTGATTACTGTCTCTTTAAAAAAGGGACAAAGAAGCCTTGATCTTCATAGCGCTCTGCTCCTGTTGTGGGTACGTGTGTGACGGCGTGTGTATGATTGTGCGTGTACGTGGCTGTGTTGAGGGGAACATAATCCTGGAAAACAATCTGATGAGTAATAAGCTTAATTTCCCTGACTTGAAGGAGTTTACAGCACACTTGAGCAGATTTAGACTCAAATGTCATTGTTCCCCTAACACATAATAAAGTGCTGAATTACTTATCAAAGGTAATCAGATAATATATATTAAAAAGTTAAGTGTGCAGGAAAAATAACAAGTGCAAAAGAAGTCACTGGGGGAAAGATATGCTGGGGTTAGAACCACCAGAAAAGGGATCTCCCTTCCATTTTGTTCTCTGTTCGCTGGGACCTGATGGAAGTAACTTTCACTGAAAAGCTCCACAGACCAGTTTTAGGGCATCCTCCCTCTCCCTTCTGAAGCTGACAAGGATGTTCTGACCTAGCTCTCTTTCATGTTGAGGCCCCAGTTCCCTGATTGGAGATGCCAGTGGCAGTTAGACGTGAAACTCAAGTCAGAGAACTCCTTCCTCTATCCTTGTCTCCTGAGGCCCTTGGTCTGCAGGCAGAATTCTCAGTGTCTTAAATGTTCTGATTTCCCTTTGTGTTAACACATTTCACACCTACACCCCAATGATCTAGAAATTGGATTTCAGAAAGGGTGGTGTGGTTAGTCAATCTCCGAGATGACCCCTGTGAACCATCTCATGCCTTGTATAGTCCTTTCCACACAGATCGGGCCAGTTTTTGTAATGAGCAGGGTATTGTGGGAATGATGGTATGTGACTTCTTGGGTTAAGTCATAAAAGACCTATGTGGTGTCTGCCTTGCTCCATGTTGTGAGGACACTCAAGGAGGCTTATGGAGGAATACACGTGGGGAGGGACTGAGGCTTCAAACCAGCATCGTGGAGCCAGCTATTTTGGGAGGGGTTTCTAGGTGAGGAAGCTAATGGGCACTCAAGTGGTACAGACTAGAACTCAATCCATTCTATCAAATGTCACTGGGTCACTAAACTGTCTAACCTAAATCAAGACTTCAGATGGCCTGCCCAACATCTTGACCCTAACCTCGTGCATCTTCCCACCCAGCTAAGCCATTCTGGAATTCCTTACCCACACCAACTGCAGGATGATCAAATCAAGTTTATTTTTAAAAGAAAAATTACACAACAAGCTCTTGTGGTCTAAGTGTGTGAGTACTTGCTGGGGATGGGATGTTGTGATAGATCAGTGCAAATTTTTGACATTTGGAGAACCAGGCTATGAGAGGCTTGGGTGTGGGTTTTGTGTGCACAGTGTTGGACGTATGGGGTTTTAGTGGTACTCACAGAACTAGGGGTGATACACAAATTATTTAGTTACTGGCCTTGGCACAGGAAGCAAGCAGTCAGCACTGACCCTCTGCCGATCAGCACCATCGCCTACAAATAAACAGTGAAGCTGTCCTGCTGTCTGTTGGATGCAATGAGTGTTGGGCAGAGGCTTTGACAGGCTTGGGGGTGTGGCCACATTACCTTGGGCATTTTAATGCCAGTCTTTCCACAAGATGGCACTGATAGCTTTCCTTCTCTCTTTTTTTTTGCCTTGTTGGGAAATTGGTGATTTGTGTACTGTTACAGAACACGCCCTGACTGAAATCTCACAGTTTACTAGTTGGTTTCTTGTACTTCTGACAATTCTATCAGCTTCATGGCACTTCAAATTATGCTTTTCCTTTTGACCATTCCTGGAGCACATGGAGTCTTCATGTTGGGGTGTTTGGGGTGGTGCCTTATACCTGAAGCTAAGATTAGGGGAGGGGGAGAGGCAGAAGGAGTTGGGGGCCAGGCTTTGGTCTTTGCAAAGCTATTCAACGTCAGAGAAGAGGGAGCGCTCAGTCAGGTGAGGTGGAAACCTTGGTGATGAAAACTGCTTTGGTGAACGCGTTCACGTCTGCTCTTCATGCTGCTACCACTTTTGTGCTGCTTTGGATCTGAAAGGAAGAAATTCTGAAAATCTTTGCACTGCAGTTTTCACAGCATAAATGTCAAGACTGGAAGGAACCCAGAGATCTCCTGGTTTTACCTCTCCATTTCTAGGTGAGGAAGCTAATGGGCACTCAAGTGGTACAGACTAGAACTCAATCCATTCTATCAAGTGTCACTGGGTCACTAAACTGTCTAACCTAAATCAAGTTACTTAAAATTTCTAAGGCTCAGTTTCCTCATCTACAAAATATAGATGC